ATGTATGCTATGGTTGTTATTTCGTAGATAGTTTACAGTGGTATGAAGGAACTCAGACAGATCAATGACCCTAAGTTCCTGCAGCTAAATTGGAAGAGTTTCAGTCTAGTACTTGAAGCAGAAAGATAACATTCTTTTTGGTGGTATATTATACCTTCTTTAGGATCCCTTTGCCCTCTTGAATACTGAGCTGTCTACAGACCTGTTTATGTATCCCTGTACAGTTCTAAGGAATTCTGTGAAGGAAATCAGGTTGCTGTCATCAAACTGAAGTCAACCTATCAAAGAGAAATGATTTTGCTAGAATAAAAGCATTCCTTAAATCAGACTATCTTTAAGAATTCTCTTTGGCTCTAAGCAGTTACCGAAGAGTTGGATGAAAGAAAGTAACATATGGAACCCCAAAACCTTGACACAAAGGAGTGAAATGGATGACAAAGGAGAAGGAGATGGAGAGTCTCTCAGTTCAGTAATGTGATGAACAACCAGGCAGTCATGTGGGCTGAAAGTCCAAACAAATCAATGCAGTTAATGAACTGTGTTGTATTTAAGAAAGTAGGACAGGGTTATATAAAATCACAGCCCCAAACCTGTGCCACAAAAATTCATTATATGGTATAATAAAGTGTGGAGTAGAAGCAGAAAGAATTAAATCTGGTTTAATGGATCCTTTATAAAACTGGCTGTAATTGAACAAGCTCAAAAGTAGAGGCCAATTCTCATCACCAGAGATGTTTAAGAGTATGTAATCTTCCTATACAAAGAGAAGAGTTCACATTGGACTTGCTCATAACAACCATTTTCATTATTTCTAATTCTTTTTGATTGGGCAGGGTGCTTTTGCCTTCTAATATCTTACTAATGAAAGCAAGACCCTGCAACATCAAAATTACCCGGAAACTTGTCAAAATACAGAACTTCTGATACCTTTTCCAAACTACTGACTCTGGATTAGCATTTCAACAAAATCTCTTTAATGTCTGGGAAGTAAATCTGTTAGCATACACTTCTCTCCCATCTTATAATCTTTCCTTGCACGACAGCCTAAGTAGTCATCTACCCATATTACTTATCAATCCACTAATTATTTCTCTCCTCTAAAAGGTGGGATCCATGAAGACAGGAAGGAAGTGTGGATATTGGTGCTCAAAATATATTTACTGAAGGAATAGTGAATTTGCCTGTAGTCTAAGACAAAGTAGTCTAAATGACTACTTTACTTCACCATGTAAAAGGTCTGCAAGTCTTTATGTCTTGCTTTTTTTCTATAGGTGCATTTTGCTTGCCAACCTCAATTCCTTGTCTGTACTCTTTATCATCTTTACATTAGGACTCTGTTCTTACATACGCAGATCCCTTTCTGTCTGACCAATCTATCCCTTGGGATTCCCAATGTTTAAAAACAAAGGCAATGGTGTCACTACTTCCTTGGCTTCTATTATTTATCTCTTTCCTTTGAGTCTTGGGCTTGTTAAGCTTATTTTCAGATGGTTTCCATACCTTTGCTTAGTTGTTTCCTGCATAAGATCTTGGCTCTATTTCTATAATGTGACTGATTTGGATTCAGATATTTAGCTAATCTCCAAATACGTGCAAGCCTATGGGGGTTTTGTTTCTTCATTCATAAAGTAAGTATAAGTCTTAGTGATAAAAATGTCTGCCCCAGAGTGGGATATGGCAAGTGCTAATATACTCTCATATTCTCCTTTTATGAAGAAAAGTCAAAGTTCATTCTGGTTATTACTATTAATATTTAAGTAGTTGTACAAAAGGGTCTCAATTAAAAAATACCAGTTTATGAGTACAATGCATCTAGATCAATGTCAACTCCTCCTGAAGGCTCATTCAGAAATCAGCAAATTTTATGTAGCCATGAATTTGACAGAACAGAATAATGATTTTATTGTTCTGAGAACATTCATAGAATAAACTTTGAACTATTGGGTAGGCTTAATGTTTAAATGATTCCATTGCAGTATTAGGATAATAGTAAAAAAAAAAATTAGGAAAAAATGCCCAGCGTCTGTGTGTGAGAATATAGATGGGAAAATATTCTAAGAGTTGCCTAAATTGCTGTCAAATTAACAGAAGTGGAATTCAAACATGCTTTCCTGGGTCCTGATGAGAAAAATTTAAATGTAATAAGATAAAAAAAAGCCCAATTGTTCAAAAAGTATTACCTATAATCTCTGTATTATAAAATTGTGAATGTCTACTGTTTTCTTCCTTATAGTCTTCTTAATTTCATCAGTTTTATAAAATATGAAATACTGTTTTTATATTATTGAAATAATAGATAGTATAATATTTTTATTATTCTCATTTTTTTCTGGAGAAATTTAGTATTAACTTTGTTCTCTATTACACTGTCTGTCTTGTTTCCTAAAGAAATATTCTTCCTCCAACTTTGTAAATTCTGGTCTCATTCTGTATCTATAGTGTGGATACGCCCACAAATTTTTCACTCTGGTTTGGAGCTCATTATCTTTCTTGGTAATGTCATACCTATCTATTTATCTGTAATAATTTTGCTGGTCATTATGGGCTGGTATGACATCATTTATAGTACTATACTTGAGAAAGATAGAGAGGCCTCCTCTCTACTACAATAGATACTTGGCTGAAGACATGAGCAATAAACAATGTGGAGTCTGGATGTTCTATTCCAGAATCATCCATAGCAAAGCTCATGCTGCAGTGGGAGCGAAAGGGGAGCTTTCAGAAACTCTTTCCCTCTCAGCTTAAACCCAGAGAGGTCATATCTCACATAACCTAGAGAAATTTCTACACATGGTTCTTCTTTTCTACCCAATATTATTTTTTCTTACTAATTACTAACTAGAAACATATGAGCAATATTTTAGCAAACTACAAAACAGCAAGAAGTACCTAATGTCTGTTTCACAATGTGTCATTTCATGAAAAGCAAAAGCAAAAAATAATGACAGAAAATGCTGATTGATTCAAATATCCATTAAACAATTAAATAAATATTCAGGAACTGTTGTGGCCCTGGCACTACTACATTTGTTAAAGAGATGAGTGGAAGAATAATCATAAAGCAATTTACTAATGTCAAATATTGGTTAGAAATACCATGGTGTTGACATCTGGCTCTGTTAAAAATCAATTAATCAAATTTTGTTTGGCCACCCTAATAGACTATTTTAATAAGGGTTTTTTTTTGGTTGCACACAATGTTGGTGCATCCCTAGATGAATTTCAAAATGGTTCTGGAAATGCAGGCAACAAGAACTTCTTGGTTAGGTCATATGCCACCTCTCCAATACCCAGACAAATCACGACAAAGTTTATTCCTATTGATAATATATTACAGAACATTGTTTGCACTTAAATAATTTCATAGATTTCCAGTTCTTATATCAAGGTTCAAAATTAACATGATGACGATGAGTAAGTCTCAATATAAAGAAACAGGCCATGAAATGTATGCCATATGGATTTAGATAAGAATATACAAATGGATTGCTTTTTCTACAACGTTTTGAAAATTTTTCCCTTACTCTGAGTGAAACCTTAAAAAATTGGTCTCTAGAGTTTTTACAATATCCAGGAATCACAATAAATCTTGTTTGGAGATTTCTTATGCAAAATAATGAATAATTTCTGAGAGGAAAATACTTTCATCTGTCTCTAAGACTCGAATATGTTCAATATCTGATATAACTGGGCTTCCTTTTTAAGAAAGGATTTATTTTTAACAGATTTAATTTAACAGTTAATTCTCCAGTTCACAACTCCTATGTGATGCTGCCTACGCTCTGGAAGGCTATGGACAGTGTCAGCTGTCCCTTTTCTCTCTTGCCCAGTAATACCCACAGAAGCTGAGATCTTCTGAAATGCGCGTGGAGTTGAATACATTAAAGTCCTCATGATTACACATTGCGGAGAAAATCAACCAAGGACAATGCATTCGTCTCCCTCAGCTGCCACCAATACTTCACAGGTAAACACCCAGAAACTTATGGTAATTTAGGCAATAGTTGACCACTGAAACTACCCCTTTTTTATAAAAAATTCAAAAAATACTAAAATCACTGTGCGAAATATTTTCGATTGTTTGTCTTGAGGGGAAATATTATCTAACTTCCAAGAGTGAAGATATGTTATTGATCTTCTCAGTAAGGCAGAAAATGTCTTCCATTTTAGTAAAAGGCAAATTAAAATAGAGAATTTATGAACATGAACGTATGTTGAAGTCAAAGATATTGTCAGAGAATTAGAGACAAGGCAACACCCATAATTTCCCTCTGAAATCAATATACATCCTGATACTGAATTTGAAAATTAGTATTTTTTATGTAAAGCATAAGGCCCAGGATCAAGGAATTCATGTGCTCTCATGCAAGATGAAGGATTGCTTTCTAATGTGGTCAATTCTGAACCCAGGAGATAAAAAAAGATGGCTCATTTAAGAACTAACAACCTTGGCCTTTCCATATATCTATTGTTCAACATGAAAACATCATTGAAGAAGTTACTGTATATGATTTGTAAAACGCAATAATACTGAGTCATTGCTGGGCTTTAGTCTTTACTATTCATTTCACTGGGAAGGGTTAAGTCATTTCATGTAGTCTTTATAAAAAAATTCACTTATCAACAGAAAGCCTTTAAATAAAACCATAATTTAAAATATCTTAAATGACTAAATTTTCTTTAGTATATAAAAATTGGGGCCCTAAAAAAATCCTGTTACAATGGCAAAATCCAAATGATAAAAATGAGTCAGACATGTTGATATTTCTAACTAATTTGCAACTCAGACAAAAAAAAGAAATCCTTTTTTTTATACATTTTTCTAATCAAAACAACCTTGGCTTGCAGCTATCTATATAGGAAAATTACATGGCATAGGTGACAATCAACATAGCTTTATAATAAAAAAAAACCAACATAAAGACAACCACTGGAATAAAAAACATCGCAATTCTCCCTGATTTTCCGTTATTTAAACATCCAGACAAAACATATCATACCTTTTAATTTTCTGAGTGAGTAGTTCCCAATTAATACTTCCTCAGTTAGAGACGAGAAGCTGACGAATCTACCGGAACAAAAGAAAAAAAAAGCCCACATATACAGATTTGTTAACTGAATATCAAAAAAAAAAAAGGCACTCACCATTAATTATCTTTACATCCAGAAAATAAATCTATTCCTTGAGATCGGAAATAAAACACATTGCAGCACACGAACCTTTCAGTTCAATGGCGAAATTTAAAGCATTTTACTCCATGATCACATAAAGCAGATCCTTTGAAAAATGGATTAAACATAAAGCCAAATAGAATAAAACTGCAAAATCCTCCCCAAACCATTACCCGTGCATATGCAGCAATACCCTGAGTCTAAGAATTGCTGCAGAGCCTTCTCCGGGAGCCTTTCCCAGCTCCAGGCAGACGCAGTGTGCAAGCCACCAGCTCCTGTCTCTGTGTGTTGGCGAAAGGGAAGCTGCAAATTAGAAAAAGTCCCCGCAGTGGCGAGAAGGAAAATAAGGCGAGTGGGAGAGGGAGAGAGAGCTCACTAGCCTCAGAATTTTCGAGAATGATGACAAGCCACTCCGCTCCGCCATCATTCATTGACAATGGGCTGCCGCCCTGGCTTACGATTTAGTTCTTCGCCATCAGGGGATTCTGGTACCAAATGCCTGACAGGCATTTTAATTGCCTCCATCCAAGTGTGTCCCCAGGAGTGGAGTCTCTAAGCCTATGAATGTCATCATATGGTCTCCTTTGTGTTAATGCTACACACACACACACACACACACACACACACACATACACACACACACACAGGTTTTCAGGCATACAGGATTACAAAACAAACTATAAAAACTGGACATGACTAAATGATAGTTTATGGGTTTTGCTTTTATTATCTGCACAGAAGACATCAGAGATTCTTTGATGTTTTATAATTGCCATCTAAATACAATATTTAGGAATCATTGCACATTGCCCATTTGCATTCTCAAATAAATGTGTTCCTAAAGATATGTGTATTCTTATGCATAGTTCCCTGAAGAAAATTCAGTCCCTTGGTAACTACGATAATTACACACTTGACAATTTTCGTTACAAGGAAGAAAGCTAAAACTAAAAAACAGAGAAAAAAACTAAGAAACCAAGGGTTGATAAGTGATTTCTGTGAAAAATCTAGTATATTGTGGTCCCAGTCCAAACAAACAAACAACAACAACAACAAAAAGGTGGCTTAAGTACTGGGATTTTGCATTACCCCACGATCAATAAAGAGAATTGAATCTCTCATAATCCACCTCTTCTGCATGTGAGCTACTGAATTTAACAGTTGAATATCCCTATTTTACCATGCCCCATATGTAGGGAGGTTAAGTGTAAATAATTCCCTGCATTTATTTCCTTGAGAAAAGCGAAGGAGAAAAGGTTAATAAATTAATTTTTATGGCTTTGTGAGCATCCTGCACAAGTGAATGGAGTAAAATTCGATGTGTACCAAAAGGGCCAGCTGTGAAGAGGGAGCTTGCTGAGAGGAAGCATTACCATGGTTACCAGAAACAGAAAGAAGGGGGAAAAAAAAACCTACCACGTGGTGATGATAGAGGAGAATGAGACTACAGTAAAGGAAATTTAGAGACAAAAAGATATACTTCAATTTTTCCTTCTTGAAAGAACTGGCTCTATACATTTTTGTAGCAGATTTTGAATTCACTGAGGCTGCGTTCTGCCATTGCTCTTCCACGTATTTTCATTGATCACTAGCTAATTTTTAGCTTTCATGAATATTCAGATTTTGGTTTCTTTGTATGAGATTGATCCTGCCACTCCTTCTCTCTGTCCATAGGTTGAATTCATGAAGGTGACTCATACTCATCACAGCATATAGGTGAGAAAGAACAAAACCCAGGGAATTTGACAGACACACCAGCCTGGCCACTAAAATCAGTCTACTGTTCAGCTTCTTTCAGCAAGGGAAATTCTTTCCCTTCTCTCATGCTACTTAAAGGTAAAACTGACTCCACTAACATCTTTTGTCTTTGATAGTGTAAACTTTTCACTTGCTAGAGCAATAGTCTTTCTTTTGAAAAACACAATTGCAATCATTCTGATAAATGGCCTAGCTTAATATCTGTTCTAGGCTTTATTTATGGTCTGAAAAGTCTGGGGTAATTATGTCAACAGTTGTTCTTTCATTTCTAGTCTGGAAATCAGTTGAAAGACGGTCTGATTGCCCTTTTATGGACCTATCCTTTTGAATCTTAATAATCATATACTGAGTTCTACATCATCACTGGCATCGATCTTTCTGTAAGCATGAAACTGGACAATCAAATTGAATTATCCTCCCCAGGCTCCTCCTACCTAGAGAGGTTGTGGACCTTCCTCAGGTGATCTGAAACAATAAGGCTGGTAAAGCTGGAAATTGAGAACCCAGGTATAAGGGTGGGGGGGGGGGGGGGGGGAGCTGGAGAGGATAAATAAATGAATTTAAAAAGCAAAATTAACCACTGGGGGGCGCAATATTTATTAAAATGATTGAACTACTCAGTAAAAATTGTGACTAAGATTTTGACTTTGTTTTGCTTTCTTTCAAAGGTTTTCTTTCAGGGATAGAAATGGTACACCATATTCTTTTTTTAAAATAGTATTTTTAGTGTGATTAGGTGATTACATAAATTTCACAAATTTCACAGTGTTGTGAGACAGTGATACTTAGTTAAAGTCACAAACGCATTCTAACCTTCATGGGACAAATTGTCTTTATCGTGTACACCATATCATGTCTTTATCAGAACACCATATTCTTAACATGAACAAGGTCCTATATTTAATCTCCATTACTAACGATCCAAAAATATTTTTTCTTTCAATATTTAATTTTTATGGCTCCTTGATTTTCAGGTAAGTCATCTATAGGAAGGGTTAAGCTTCCTAACTCCATTCCTCAGCTATAAAAGGAATAAATTACACTATATATATATATGACTACCAATTACAAGAGATTTTATTAATATCTTTTTTTTGTTTTTGGTCTGTCATGGGGCCTGGACTCTGGGCCTAAGCACTGTCCCTCAGCTCCTCAAAGATCAAGGCTAGAGCTCTACCGCTTGAGCCACAGAGCCACTTCTGGATTTTTCTGCTTATGTGGTGCTGAGGAATCAAACCCAGGGCCTCATGCATGCAAGGCAAACTCTACCACTAAGCCACCTTCCCAGCCCCATTAATATCCTTTTAAATATTATCTCTGCTGAATGTTTATTTTTCTTTAGTGATTTAAGACAATATGGTGAGTTTCTTTTTACAGAGAATGTTTTATTTTAATATACTATCATCAATTAACTTAGGAACACACAATAAATGATATATAAGACTTATTTAAATATGAATCACATTCTATCAAGATGCTATCAAGGACAAATAGTAGTCATGATCAGCTAAAACAGCATCACTTGTGAAAGCATTTAATACTTTCTCAGTTATTTAATTTAATATTTAAGTACACTTGGTTCTATATATGGGTTGATATGTTCTCTTTTTTGTCTTATTTTGTCTAAATGAAACAAGCACTACATGTAAAATATGCCCTTAAATATGTCATATTCTAAAAGCAAAAGGTAACAAATAATCAAAGGATTTCCATGGATTTTTAGATTTTTTTCATATTTGCTTATAAGCTGAAATGGCATCTTCCTTACCCTTCCTATTTTAATCTTTGGCCTTAGCGCCATTCTTGAGTTTGCTTGGTCAATACCTGTATTTCAGAACCTGAGAAGTTTTAAGAGTGAAAGGGAATATCACATTTCCTCCTCAAGGAACTTCAGTGGAGAGAAGACAGAAGTAAACAGAAACCTACCTCCACATCTCTTTTCTTTGGATAAGACACTGACTCTGCCTCTCTGTGACAGCTGCTCTCACAGAGCTGGTTTCTAAGGATCAAACAGAACTATAATCCCTGATTTCCTTAGTGGCTTTTTGCTATGACCTTTTTTTCCATAGTATTTTTCACTGCTTATGAGTTTTCCATTGTTACGTTTATTTTGTTCCTGCTAATTCCACAGGGCTAACAATCTGTGGCACATTCCAGATCATTACAGATTAACAACTCCAAAAGCTGTTGGTTTTTTTTTTTTTTTTTTTAATCTCTTTTAAAGCAAGTAGATTCTAAGATTCAGTAAAGGTACTAAAAACCTTCAAGATATGTTTCTTTTAGTACCAGGTCTCTAGATTTCAACAAAATTTTTTTTTTGTTTTTCTGGGTTGGTGTGATGTCATCAGTAAAAGTCACATGTTATAAAAAACATGGAATGAAGTGATGAGGAATAGCTCTCAGAATTTCAAAGACAGCTGGGTACTGCTAGGCTGATGCATGTAATCCTATCTATGAGGAAGCAGAGATCTGAGAATTGAGGTTTGAGCCAGCCCTAGTGGGAATGCCCTTGAAACTCTTCTCTCCAATTAACCAGCAAAAAGCTGGAGCTGTGGCTCAAAAGATAGAGCACCAGCCTTGAGAGGAAAATGTCAGTGAAGAGTGTAAGGAGTTCAAGTCATAGCCAGCACACACACACACACACACACACACACACACACACACACACACACATACACACGTATGCATGTGCACACCACACACAGCAGTTCAAAGATAATCACTCATCACAAGAAGATAAATTTATATAAATAAATAGATCACATTATTTTCTTAATACACTGTAAAAATCATTAATTCACACCATCTACAAAGCTCAATTACCAATGATCAAAGGTAAAATAATGTTGAGAAGTCCCATAAAGGATTTTGACACCAGATAACAGATGAATAAATTGCTAAGAGATAAAATTACTCCCTCCAAAATAGGAACCTGAATCACTCACCTCCTGTCCAAAATTTGTTTGTGATGATTGGAAATTAAGTGTACTGATTAGCCTTTTGTGCAGACAATGTTTTGTTTACTTTTACTAGATGCTATGTGCCACAGCTAGACTATCAGTGTCTAAAAATGGAGTGATATTGTCCAGGCCCTGAATTCTATAAATATTTCCCTGAATTTGAAT